GCAACAAAGTTGCAAAAGAAGAATCGCGTTTGCAACTTTGTTGCCCGGTGTCGCCCCCGAAAAAAGCACAATGTTGCAAAACGGGGCGTCGTGCAACAATGTGCAATTTTGGCGACAACAAAGTTGCAAATCCGACAACGCGTTTGCAACAATGTGCAATTTTCGTGAGCGATTCACGACAACAAAGTTGCAAACTCGATAATGCGTGCTGCAACAAGGTACAATTTTCGAGAGCGAGTCCCGGCAACAAAGTTGCAAAAGAAGAATCGCGTTTGCAACTTTGTTGCCTTGAACTGCTCCCGAAATTTGCACAATGTTGCAAAACGGCGCGTCGTGCAACAATGTGCAATTTTGGCGACAACAAAGTTGCAAACCCGATAACGCGTTTGCAACAATGTGCAATTTTCGGGAGCGACTCTCGGCAACAATGTTGCAAAGCCGACAAGCGTTTGCAACATTGTGCAATTTTCGGGAAGCGACTCGCGGCAACAAAGTTACAAAAGAAGGATCGCGTTTGCAACTTTGTTGCCTTGAACTGCTCCCGAAATTGCACAATGTTGCAAAACGGCGCGTCGTGCAACAATGTGCAATTTTGGCGACAACAAAGTTGCCGAGACAACAAAGTTGCAAGCCCGATAACTCGTTTTGCAACAATGTGCAATTTTCGGGAGCGATTCGGGACAACAAAGTTGCTAACTCGATAACACGTTTGCCACAATGTGCATTCGAGTATAATACAAGTTAACAATGTTACAAACGAGAATGACGCTTGTAACAATGTTACATTCAAGCGTAGTACTTGTAATAATGTTTGCGATCGAAGTAACTCTTCTAATAATGTTGCAATCAGAAATAGAGATTGCAACAATGTTTGCGTTCAAATATAACGCTTCAAGCAATGTTGCATTCAAAAGTAACGCGTACAACAATGGTTTGCATTCGAAATAGTGCTTCCATCGATGTTGCATTCGAGAATAGAGACTGCAACAATGTGTGCATTCAAGTTTCAAAAACGAAAAATGAAAGAAAAGTATCTTGCTACTTAAAAATCGCCGTTCAACGATATAAAAGTTCTTTTCCTGCTACAAATAAAACGTCATTGTACATTCTCAACATATTTCTGCACCCCTATAAATAACCCCTTTACATAGAATTCATAATATATGTATATATGTATAAATTATATTTATATTTTCAGTTATGCGTCAAATTGAAATTCTGATTAATTTATAAATATCTCTGTTACATACGAACGGCATAGCAAAGTGGCACAAAAATGCTTCCAAATAAATCTGAATTTATAATATGTAAATTATCATCGATTTGGAATAAAAGAGTTTGGAAAAATTCTCAGTCATACATTTTATTAACTACAGTAAATATAATTTTTTCCACAATTTTCTATGCAATGGAACAAAAGAAGTCGAACCTAAATTGTAGATCACGTTTCTACAAGTAACTCGTAGAAAATTACATTTTTTAGAGTGCTAGTAATTGAGATACTTCAAGTTCAATTCAGTTTTCAGACGCTTTTCGCATGATTATTACCTTTGCTCGCAAAAATTTTTCACCAAGCAAATTATAGAAGGTGGAAAAGGTAAAAATTGATCGTCAAGCAAATTATAGAAGGTGGAAAAGGTAAAAATTCATCGTCAAGCAAATTATAGAAGGTGAATACTTCTGTATTTTTATCAACCTGTGGAATGATGCATTGCGAGTCTGATAGGTTGATCGGTCTTGGGTGTGAATATATATTAGAGAATAAACAAGAAGTGTTCGACAGATGTAGTGGAGTTTAGTGATTCAAGTCTGGTGGTGTAGTACGCGGTGTTCTATTCGAGTAGAGCAAGCGTCTTGCATTTATTGGTTGAGCGTTGTGAGAAAACAAGGAAGATTAATGCGTGTTATATGATGCTTGCTTTATTACCACGTTATTATGTATTATTTCATGTGACTATTTCATATTTTCATTGTATTCTTAATTCCTCCAAATATATAAAGCTTCTTCGACAATCCATATCTACTTTTCTGAACAATCTTTTTTATTCGCTCTTTTCCTTCTTAAATAAATACATAGCAAAAAAAAAAGCTATAAAATTCTATCGAAAACTTCTAAATTTCATGGTAAACAAATGTAATACTTGAAAAATTAAAACTTGTCGAAGCATTAACGCACATAAGTACTAATTATTTTCTAATTATTCCACATTGTAATTTGCTGATAGTAACAGTGCAGTAATAATTGATATTGTCCTATCTACTAGAAATATAAGAAAAAATTAAACGGATATAATCTCTTGAAAATGAGCTTCTCCCCATTTTTCGTTAACGTTAATACCATTGCATTTCCTTTTTATTTTAGTTACCTTACTTTATATCCCCCACCGTTATCTTTATTCTCTTAAGCGTTCATTCCGTTAAATAAATAAATAAATAACTGTAAAAAATAGTCACTTTTTTACCCTGTTACTAATTTCAAATTTCTACAAATCATGTATCCATAAATTCTCAAACTTCCCAAAATTTTCACTTCGCAACAAGTTCTAAACCATTCATTTTCTTCTGGTAACCACAGTAGAAAACATAATTAGCACTAAATATGCGTTAAACGAATGACGCTCATTCGGTGGATGTTGCGAACCCCCGAGGCTTTTGTGCATTAAATAAACTCGAAAAGGTTAATACGCATGGGGGAAGCAGGGGAAGGATTCTAAATTTCTCAACGGGATCTGGTAATTAACGTTAACGAGGGCGTTTGACCATAGGATTCAAAGATAATGACGCGAGGATTCCGACTGAATTTTAATGGCGTACTTTAAGTCAGTCTGCTCTGTTCTTCAATCCCCTCTTGTCGAGTGTAACGAGAACGACTGAGTTGTTCACGGTAAAAAGATGACGAAGCCCCGGTATGTGTCGCAAAATAACGCACGTTTAGTAGGAAATGTTTCTTAACTTGATTTCACTTAAAAAATTTTCTTCCTTCCTTCGTGTATCTCTGTTACGAATTGAGTTTATATTTTAAACCAGATTCATGACAAAGCTATTCAGTGATTCATTGACTGATTTACGCGCTATTCACAATTTACATTTTATTCTCGATTTCGGTGAAATAAACTAAAAGTGTAAAAGAAATTTTCTTATTTTTTATGGATGTAGTTATACCTAATACGTAAAAATTATTAGTATTTTATTCGAATTAATTTTACATATAGGAATTTGTTGTTATTCGTAAACTTTACCCTAGCTACGTGTTATAATATTAGAGTTTGATCGTAGTATCATCGAAAAAGCATTTCACAGTCCTCGAAGCTATTTATACGTGAGTGCGTATGACTTTATGGTACAGTAACAGTAGTTGTGTCTTTGTCACCTTGCATCATCGGTAATTCTGGTTTACATGATTGAATTTACGATGAACATGCGTTGACAGACGTAGAAACTACGATGACTCAACGACAGCTTTCTGTCCTCGAGCTTTTGTTACTTCTTATTGCAGAAGTAATTATCAAGTTACCTAATGAAAAACTTCTTACGGTCCCCGAACTGATTAATTCAATAACTTAACGAGTAAACTCGGGAAATTAAATTTTACAGTAATAACAAGATTCTTTTTTCTCTAATTCTAATAAAGAAGTATCATAAATTGTTTAAAGAAATTTGTCCTAAACTGCTTAATTACTCGGATATTCTTTGTACAAATTCGAATAAGAAGAAAAACCCTGTTACATGAGGTCTGCATATTGTCAACATCATTTTATTTTCAACAACTTTCGTATCCTTCGTAATAATAAAATCAGAACAAGTTTGACAAGATTGTAACAAGGTAGAAGGAACGCCGTAGATAATGAAACAATCCAACGCTTCAACATTATTGTTTCATTCATTCGGATGCTATGTATAGTGAAGAATTTATTTATTACTCGCTACAAAAAATGACTACTTCCCTCTTTGGTCTTGTCATTCACAACGCCTTTAATATCTAATTCCACAGTTACATTCAACGTATATGTAGTAACGGTATATTGAAATATACAATTTCGAACAATGTTACACCAGAAAGCAGCAGAGTATTGCAGTAGAGGTATAAATCGTCCCACCTCTTAATACGCATGAAAATTGAAACGATTGTAAAAATATACTATAATCCGATCCATTCGGTGCTCTATCTAGAGGTGCTGCTAACGATAATGTTATCGGTAGAGTCTAAATGTTATCGACAATTCGATACGTCGGTAATATCGTTAAGATATCGGTAAGTTGAACTTAAGTTAAAGTTTTGTTACAAAAGATAGAAAACGTATATAATCTCTGCACTAACTGAATTCGAACGAGGTGTGCTTTATTTCTGACAATGAAAACCCATTTAACTAAGTAAACGAGTACAATAATTAGGAAAATAATTTCAATATGCAGCGAACAGTAGTACTTTAACAATGAATGAAGATAGAAACATAAGTGACAGTATGTGAACAGATTTTGATAAAAAGAATGCAAAGAATAGAATCTGATATTGATCCTAATCCTACATCAATAAAGTCTGACATAAAAAGGAGAATATTTGAAAACGATTTAATTTAAATATTAGAAAATATAATCCCAATAACCTGATTGGAACACAGAAGGCGATAAAACTTTTCCAAAGCATGCGATTATGTCTCTCAAATATTTATCTGTACCAGCAACTTAAGTGAAAAATTATTTTCCAAGACAGGACAAATTCTTTCGGACAAAGAAAACGAGGTTGCAGCCAAAATATAATACACTAACATCTTTTCTATAATAAGTTCGAATAAAAATAAGTAGATTCGAGTGATAAATTTGTCACGACGTTGCTTTCTACATGATTTAATCACTCCTATTCGTCCTACCGATATTTCAACTCAATATCTATTAACAAGTTATCGATAACTTATCGATAATCGTTAGCAGCACCTTTAGCTGCATCTTCTTGCAACAGGATGACAATCCAAGCATGGAATCGTCGACTTCTCGAAAATTCATCCGGTGTCCTCTTCCTATCCCCCATCCCCGTCCCTCGCCGTCAAATCCGCTCGTACTTTCTTCACGACAAACCCGAGCAGCGACTTTCCCCGCGAATAATTTACCTCGTTATATTTACGTTTATTATCTTTTCTTTTTACGTGGATGGTCACCAAGTCCCGTCAAGTCTCCTCCCGTTCCCAGCTCCATTCGGCCTCCTCCGATTTACTTCTCAGCCCTGTTCTATAAACTTCCAACTGTTCCTCCTCGGATGGCCAATTAGATCTGAAAGAGTCGTCCTCAACGTCCGATGATTTCGTATTGGTTTTGGGAACATCCAGATCCGTGCTCTCGCTCCTCTCCATCGATTCTATTTCCTCGGATTTCGAACTGGTTCTGGTGTTATCCTCTGTGTCCGAACTCCTGCTACGCGCAAACCTGATCGATTCTGATTCGTCATCGGCGAACGCACCCATGTCCTCGTACTGTTCTCCACCCGATTCTTTCTGATGTTTCTCTTCCGTCGGTACATCCTTGTCCTTCGTTTCTCTATCCTCCGACTCCTTTCTCGGTTCTCCTTGCAACTCTTGAATCACATACGCCGAAGTACGATCTTCCTCAGAACGGGACTTCTGCATCTGCCAAGCTTTCTTAAAAGGATGCTCCCGTTCCTGTTGAATCAGCTTAGGTCTCTCTGGAAGAAGATACTCCGGGTCCTCCTCGCTGGCCTGACTCTTTATGATCGATTCGCGTTTATACAATCCTGTGGGGGGAGATCTAGGCAATCCTTCGCCCTCCTTTCTCACCACGTTCCAACCAGAATCAGCCAAGTCAGACAGCGTGGAAAGGTCAGCCAAGTCTTCCTGGGACAGCGTGGAAAGGTCCTGCACAGATATCCTCTTGCTGCCTCTCGTCAGAACGAAGTTGTAAGCCTCAACATCCTCGTCCTCTTCCATAGAAGTCACTTGACTACTGCTCGTATAGGATCGCCTTCTCGACGCGTCCCAGATCACCTCCTCCTCGCTCTGAGTATCCTCCCTGGGCGGCGGTGCTTGTTCACGATACTCCCTTCGTCGCATGTAAGCAGTATCGTCCTCAGGCTCGCTGGGCTCCTGAGAAGAACCAAGCTGACCGATTCGCGAGCCCACGCTAACCGTCCAAGAGTCCATGTTATCGTCCGCGGAAGGATCTTTCAGCAGAGCGATCTTCCCCTCCGCGGAGGATCTCCTTCTGAGAGAGCTCAAGTCCTCCTCCTCTTTCTCGTTCGCGAAAGAATCCTCCTGCTCTGTCTCAAGCTTCTCCATGAATTCTTTCCTCCGTATCCTGAGCTCGTTTTCCCAGTCCTCCTCGTCGCTTATCCGCGTTTCCACCGACGGCTGCTTTTTTTCCATTTTCCTACGTTGCAACGAGTGCTCGTCTTCACTCTCCGAAGAAAATGCTCGCCTCGAGTCCCCGGATCTCGACAACGCTGGTCTTGTTTGCCTTTGCGTAGACTCGCGTTCCTCCGATTTGCTGGAGAGCCGTTTAGGCTCTGGACCCCTGGAGGATGAACGTTCCTTACCGACCAGCTCCCACGAACGATAATCGTCCGATTCCCTAATCACGGATCTCCCTCTGGAATGAAATCGCCTGTAGCGTCTAGGATAATCTTCCTCTTCTTCCTCTTCTTCCTCTTCCTCGTCTCTCGGTCTTCGTCTTAAATACTCCTCCTCGTTCTCACTGTCCCGTGTTGACAATCTCTTAACGTCGTGACTCCTAGAGAGCGAGCGTCTGTCTCGCTCCTGTTGCATCCTGGAAAGATCCAAGCCGTCGTTCTCCGATTCCTGATAATCCCTTTGACCGCTCCTGCTCCTCCTACCCCGCTCTCTGTACTCGTCATCGTCTCTCGAGTATCTTTTGTCCTTCGTCCGTTCTCGTAACGGAACAGTTTCTGTTTCGATGGAATCGTGGCCGATGAACGATTTCCTTCGTCCTGTTGTTTTCTTTAAAATTGGTATCTGAACGTGTTCCTCGTCTTCCACATCGTGATGAGGATATTTCGTACCACCGTCGACTATGTCTCGTTGCCAGTCCCATCCTGTCGACGATACTTCGTCTTCTTCGAAAACTTTACCTTCGGCTGGTTGTTCCGATGTGGAAGATTTTTCAATTTCGTTTGATACCTGCTTCGAGGAGATTTCTTTATTGGGAACTTCCACATTCAGCATGTCTGTGCTTTCCATTAACACGTTTTTCAGCTCTTGCATGGGGAAGTCGAAGAGCAAGGTGAGGATGGTCGATACGATTACAACTGCAGCTGCTTCCATAGGATCGATCTGAAAATGCAGTAAAATTGTTCTGACGTTGTCGCATATAGGAAGCATTAGTTTGTAATACTTACGAGTCTAAGAACCTGAAATCCGGCAGAGTATCTAGTGGTCCCAACGTTGTAAAAAAATACTGCGAATTGAGTCAAGTACACCGCATACGATATTCTGCTGAAGATTATTAACCAGTGACTCGAAAGCACTTTATTTATTATACCTGTCGAAATAAGAATTATAAGTGTAACAGTTTCTCGTATCTTAAACAATTACTATAACGTTTTAACATTGCTGCAGCATTGAAATTCAACAGTAACAAAATTTCAACAGTAAGTATCTACTAAAATTTAGCATCTATTAAAATCTTGAAAATTTTAGAACGCAATAAATAATGCTTTATTTAGAAAAGAAGTTATAATTTAGCTGTAACTTCAAAATATAGCTGTTGGTAATCTTATTTTGCAACTAATTAAATATTTTTATAAAATCAATTTTATCAACAGTCAAGATGCAAACCTCCGTGATTTGTGTAACATGCAAATATGGACCAGCACAAAGCCAAGGCCCACAAGACAGGACTGATCACGGCGTAATTGGTTGCTTCTTCAGCATCGTACACGTAGTCCCTTCTGGCCAAGTGCCAGGGTGAAAATAACGACCACGATCCCAAGGCCATCGCGATCAACCATCCCAAGATCACTAACACCTGAAATGAGTACATCAAGTGGGTCATGACCTTTGGATTATGAACAGAGGATGAATAATTCTTGAACGTTTGAATGAAGCTCGTACTTCTTAAATAATCATTAAAGCAACAATTCAAAAACGACTTGATAAATTTCATCGTGTTCACGTAAATAAATATTAAATAATAAACTGCATATTTAAAACACAAAGTCCACAAAGATCTTAAAAACTAATTTCAATTTTATCCTTTAAGAAAGATTAAACTTAGCAAATTTGTTTATCTCAAGATAAAAGCAAAATTTTTAATCCTAACAACTATTGAAACAAACCCAATTTTTCAACATCATAAACGATCTTATTTTATAAGCATACCATAAAAAAAATTCATTGTAGCAGTTAGATGAGAATAGAGTTACTGTGAGAATAAAATACCTTGTGGATCCTGACGTTTCTTCCGGTATAACGTAACAGCACACCAAGTCCTACACCAAACACGTATGGCGTAGCTCTGTGTAATGGCAATATGTAACTTAAATTGGCAGTTCTGTAAAGGTGCTTCGATCTGAAATGAGAAAATTAAGATAATTCGGGTGTAAAAGGGTATACAGGCTGAACCACGCAAAACAAACCACCTAAGCAACTTCTACAGCTATGGTGGTACGAGAGAATCTTTATACATAATTTAAATGGTTTCAAAAAGAGAATAATATTGAAGACAAATTCTTTCGATGGAATAAATAGCAAAAAACGAAAGGAATTTTCGCATTTGATTTAAAATTTTACAGGCCAAGGTCTGCTACAACGTACAGTAGAAAAAAATATATACTTTCGTGTAGAAACACATAGGTAACCTTGAAAACAAAAAGAAAAATGGTATTTATAAAAAAAAATTTCTTTCATCTTATTCGCCCTTTGAAATCATTTAAATTACGTATAAAAATTTTCTCATACCGCCCTAGCTAGAGATAATAATTAGGTAGACTGTTTTACGTGGTCCATCCGCTATATTCAATATTACGTGGTAAATTCACGTTGAATATTGAAGTATAAACTTACGACATTCCATGGAAAATAACGAGGGAAAGATAATTGTTCATCGTTGATATGTAACGAAGCGTGGCCGACAGTAAAATGAAGAAGAACATTGCAAGAATCCCAATGACAGGCCTGCATTCCAAGAAGAATACCAACATTGGGGTTAATAATGATAGTTGCATGTCCAAAGCCAACTGATGGGTATGAGCTGCACACTATTGATCAAAAGAAAAAAGAACGTTAAGTCGAACAAAGCAAAAGATTGAACAAGTAATTAAATGTTGAAACTTAATTTATGATATAGGTAATACTGAAACATTGTTGAAAAAGGTGACATCTAGTTTTCTTCAACAGTTTTTATGACAATTTGAGAAAAATTTCACACAGTTTAGAATGAATTAGATACCATTTCTTCGAAAGGGAAAAAGTTTTGTATGTACAACAAATTCGTCCAGGCGTTGCTTTTACATAGCTCTGCATTTGGCGTTATAACGCTGTTCCATTGTGGTCCCCATCCTGTGTGCTCCATTACGAATGCGTACCAAAACACTACTGCGAACAGCGCTGGAGTAAGCCTAGAAAGTAAAAAAAGAAATATTTCAGTATTCTTCTAAATCACTTATAATGCATCAACCCTTTGCACTCCGAGCACTTTTTGTTACGATCGACCAGCAATATTAACACACTTGTGCAGTGAAATTTTTGAAAACGAAAATTTATTTACTTTTATCTCTTTTGCTAATTTGCTTCATTTTGATATAAATGGAGTTCATTTGTCAATTTATATTAAAAATACGGAAAACTAAATTTTATTCTTCCTAAACAGACTGTAAATTTCACTTCAAGTCGAAATTACAACGTTTCCTTACAGAAGTATTCCTATCGAAACTAAGTAAGCACGAAATCAACTTCTTTCGCTTTACACTTACACTTACGCCACTGTAAACAACTTTCAGCGACTCCTTATCAACGTACTGTCACCCATTTGTATTTCCCGCCAAATTCATACGTACAATTACATATACAGAGTGTTGAGAAAAGTTCGAACCAAAATTCAGGAGTACGAAGTACTGGTCAGAGCAAACAAATTTTTTATGAACTCACTGTAACTGTTCACTGACGGTGAGGATATGTAAATATCATTTCTCCGATGAAACCCAAAGATATCCTTTGTTATGGTACGTGTATAAAGTGGGAGGAGGACAGACAATCCGTTGTTTTTATGCAGCACGATAACTCTTGAAACGAGCAAGCTTTAACCGAAATGAAAAATTGTTTATAACTTTGAAAATATTACGGAATTTTCTGTTTATTTCGGTGAGTACTACATGCTCCTGAAGTTTGGCTTCAACTTTTTTCAACACTGTACAGAATCTTTTTAAGTGCTAAATTATGGTTAATTATACAACTTACCTAATATATCTGGCGATGAAACGACAAAACCATCGAATCTCACCCCGCATTATAAATTCATGTGCCATATTGTAAGCAGTTAGGACACCGCTGAGTAATAAAAATGCGTCCGTGTAAACCATGGATACCCTCAAAATCGAGCTGATTGGAGTGTTCGCCACCTGTTTTAACCACCAAAAATTAAACGCAAATACGAAGAATACGTAGAGCCTATTTCGACTCTACTAAGTCATCGTGAAAGTTCCCGCGATTTTTAGCCGTTCATTTTGAAAAAAACATAAATCCGCTGGAATTAAAGGTTCTTATTCGATATAATTTCCATAATATTCGAGACACTTTGGCCAACCTATTACAAGAGCATTAATTCCGCATACATAAAAATCCGAATCTCCCTGATTCAAACCTAATTTACACCCGAAAAAATCATTCTCATAGTTTGATGGTCTACTTTGGAATTAATTCGCTAGAATTCCCTAAAACTGGCTACCACTATCACTTCAGAGTCACACGGTAACGAATTGGAGGTCGTTCACCAAAAACTAAAGGTACAGCAACCATTCCTGATCAAAAGAAAAGGACTTATCCTTTTGGATGACAACGCCAGACCGCGCGTAGCAATCACAACTGTACAAAAATTGCATCAACTGGGTAATCGAAGTTCTACCTTATCCCAATATTCCCCTGATTCATCTCCAACCAATTTTCTTACGCAAAAACGATTTTGGGAAACAGGAGGATATTGAAAACGCCTTTCAGCAGTTTCTTCCTCTTAGACATTCGGATTTTTATACAGTCAAGGACAGAAACATGTGGACGCCTTTCAAAGTAGAGTAACTTTTTTAAAATCGGGCCAAATGACTTGAGTTCTTTTTTTAGAAGGATTAGTTTACTTAAATTTTGAAAAAATTGCAATTTGTGGGAATCGCGAAGAAAATTGTAAAGCCGTAATGAAAATTTAAAACGCACGTTTTGTAGATCTATGTCCATTGTACACGTGCTGAAAATTTCATCGAACTGTCTGTATCGAACATTATGGAAATTATTTGAAATAAAAGTGTTTAATTCGAACGGAGTTGTACTTTATCAAAATGAACGGACGTAGTACATTCTTACACGCACCTCCGTCAGTTCGATTCGATTGGAAAATGGTAACCTCGAAATTGGTATTATCTGATGAGCAACGTAAAGAGCAATCGTGACGAGCGCCCTTATCCCATGGATGCACGTAATATCGGCTTCGTTCGATCCTTTTTTCAATAAAGATCTAACGGTTCTCCGTAAGGAAAAAGACATTATTATACGCTCGGAATAGTTTCCTGTAGAGAGGGAGATAATTGTTTAAATGTACAGTTTGCGATATTCTGTAAAGATGCAGCGCTGTTGAAATGAATCTACATAGGCAAAGCGGATTTTTTATGCGTATTAACTTACGAAAGATACAGAATATTACGAGAATCTACCTTTTCCTTCGGACGCCACTAAATAATCTCTCACCGTTGCTACGGTAGCAATACAGACGATCATTGCATAGAAATATCTGTAAGGAAATTTGTATTCGTGAGAAAATATTTTTTCTTCTATTTTCAAGTTATTATTTCTTTGAAGTGTCGTGGTGAAATATTTGTCAATTGGCAAGACAACACTTTGCAAAGAATATTATGATTTGAAATTCGTTAAAATATATTTTTTTTATTTTTAGATAATTTTTCTCGTAAAATATTTGTCAATTGGCAAGATAAGACTTCGCAAAGAATATTCTGATTTGAATAAAATATTTGTCAATTGACAAGGTGCGAGTTTACAGAGAATATTTTCATAGTTGACAATTAAATATTAAGAAATTGTAAATATACAAAGAATACATACAAAACTCCGACCGTCTCTTTCGAATAGCTTCGTGTTTTCTGTTTGACGTAGCACATGTTAGGATCGACGTCTACCGTGAATTTAATTCCTGCGGTAGAATTGTACTCACTCAACGCCTGTTCGACAACGTTTTGCGCGTCTTCGGCAGAACAGGCCGCCGGAAGACACAACGCCCAGTTCACTGTCGTGAATCTTGGAACAAAATGACCAGGCTGAAAGTGAGTACGTTTTACAATAGAGCTTTTCTCAAAAATTCTTCATCGTTTATTAATATTTTCACTGTGAGAAAAATAAGCCGTGTGAATTTCAACAAATTACAATAACTAATGACAACGTTTTATCCATTAAAGTAAATAAATTATAGTAATTAATGGCAATGGTTTATCTATTAAAATAAACAAATTACAATAACTAATGACAACGGTTTATCTATTAGAATTGCAAATTAGAGGAGCTTTTTGTTTACAAAATGAATAGACATGAAGTAAATTCGTATTCTGTAATTTATTACTCTCATGGTAAAGGTATATGCAACCTCGGTTCATGTAGTAACTAACATAGATATTTATGTAAAAAGCTTTGCATAAAAAATTTTATTTAAAAAATGAAGATGCATTTGTATAAAATTCGAAAGAAAGAGATATAAATAGAAACTACTTTACTTCTTCATAAATGCATATATGTATAGTCTATAAATTTATTTCATGTTACTTTACCAAATGAGTTAATTTAGATAGAAATTGAAACTTTCATTTCCCGAAATCTTGGATTCATCTGAATCTCCTTATTAAGAACAGTTTTCTCAACTAAACTTTTACTTGACCAGCAGTGAAAATATCAATAATGTCCGCACGTAAAATGAAAACGAAAAATAAAATCGTTCACTTACGTCACGCATGCTTCCTCTTATGAAAGCACGGGCCTGCATCATATTAACCGGAAGCTTCATGTCCGGATGAGATGGATACACATCTATATTGGCCAAACAATATTTGCCCTGCACCTTTATCGTATTGTCATTCAATTTCACGTGCGCCACCACACCCAAACACTCGTCAAAATCTCCGAGCTGATTCACGTTTCCCCGTAATAGACCCGATGGAATTTTTGCGCTCGAATCTAACACTGACATAAGAAACAATAGGCGAGATGTTTATAACGATACCGTGAAAATTTCATTATAATTTCATTGAAAAATTTGTCTTTCGACGTGAAATAATCAATTTCGACACTCGGACAATTAAGAATTATTTCTCTGCTAACGTGAAATGTACAGCCTGGGCCAAAAGTATTAGGCACCTCTATTATTACAACTTACTGCCAAAACTATTTCTTCGAAACCTTCCTATTGTTCGAAGGAACTTTGAAACAGCTGGCAAGGTTCATGGTGGGCCATAAAACAATTTAACGATTCATAGTCTACATTTTGTGTTTCTCCCTAAGAGTCACAGACTCACGTCAGCTTGCCTTTAATTTTTCTGTTAATATTTTGAAAGTTAGAAAGTTTTCCTTGAAATATGGCAAAGAAATGAACTGAATATCCATCAACGCAAGTTAATTCTTTTTTTTAAGATACAAAGATTGCTGCGATTGTCATCAAATGTTCACGTTGTTGTGGCCCAACAAAATATTGACAAAATTAATAAAAAATGATTGTTTTCGTATTTAGATAGTTCGATACCCTTTTAATACAAAATATTTTTAAATGATCAAAATTTTATGGGGTGCCTAATACTTTTGGCCACAGCTGTATCAGCATATTGCAAGAAACTACAACACTGAACGAAAGCTGGACTTACTTTGCAAGGCCCACAACTTGTAACCCCTTAACTGTCGTAGGAAGATCTTGCCGTGCTGCTGACACTCGAAATCCTCAACGGCCGTGAAATTTGGCACGAAGGTCGGCACGTGTAGTATCGCATCGTTCAATTGAGCCAAAGTGAACGAAGCTTCCACGTGCTTTTTCGTTCTTCCCTTCGACTCATCTTCTACAAACAACATCATATCCCTTAACATTACGACCCGCGACAAAAAGAGAAGACAATTTCCTTACTTCGCTCGTATTTCGAAATACGCAAAATACAAATCACGAATTTGAACAAAATAAATCACAATATTCGTTAATATTTGTCACTATACTCACTGTCGGATCGTTTAAGCTCCGCGACTTTAGCCGGAACAGCTTGAGCAGTTTCGCTTGGTTTCACTTTCGCCTTTTCCGGCTGCTTCACTGATTCCCGAATCTTCGGCACTTCCGGTTTCACCGTGGCCTTCGGTTTAGCAGATTCGGATTCAGATTTCGTTATCTTCACGGGTTCGTCTTTCTTCGTGGCTTCAGACGACTTCGCTGGACTCTCGACAGGTTTCTTCGGTGTTTCAACTATCTTCTTCACAGGTTCCTCCGGTTTCTTTATTGTCTTGGGCGGTTCCTTTACTTCGAGCTTTGGCTTCACTGTAACAGGCACAGCTTCAGTGGATCTAACCTTATCTTTATCCGCGAGTCTAACTTTTTCTAGTTTCCTTGGAGGAGGCGTAGAAACTTCTTCTTCCGATTCTTCTTCGTCTTCATCGTCTTCGTCGTCGTCGTCTTCTTCTTTATCCACCTTCTTCTCTAAACTCACTTTCTTCTTCGAATCTATCTCTTCACTTTTCTCTTCTTCATCTTCTTCTTCTTCATCTGTCTTTTTCAATATCTTCTCCAAAACCACTTTCTTCTTCGAAGCTACCCTTCCACTTTCCTCGTCATCCTCTTCCGTATCCTCTACATCTTTCTTCCTAACAGTCTTCGTTATTTTGCTCATTTTCCCATGAAGATCCTTCTTCTTCTGCGCTTCTTCTTCTTCATCCTCATCGCCCCCTTCGTCCACCTTACTTTCCTCTTTCTCATCATCGTCGTCGTCGTCGTCGTCGTCATTCTCGTCGTCCTCATCTTCGTCTTCATCATCCTCTTGGTCATCCTCCTCACCAGAATCCTCCTCCACTAAATCATCACTCTTAATCTCCTCCTCCGTATCCTCCTCCACTTCCACGATCACCTCCTCCTCGTCTTCATCTTCATCAATCTCGACACTCTTCGCCGATCCAGCAGATTCTCGTCGTCCTCATCTTCGTCTTCATCATCCTCTTGGTCATCCTCCTCGCCAGAATCCTCCTCCACTAAATCATCACTCTTAATCTCCTCCTCCGTATCCTCCTCCACCTCCACGATCACCTCCTCCTCGTCTTCATCTTCATCAATCTCGACACTCTTCGCCGATCCAGCAGCCCTATCGCTAGAACGTCCGGATCTCTCGAGCCTCCTACTCCTATCGTCATCGTCCGCCGACGTCAGCTCGACAGGTGGTTTCCGAATGTTGCTGGCAAGTCTCTGTGTTGGCGTGTCGTGCCACTTTCGGCTGATCGACGTGGCCGCGGTCGTCTTCTCCTGGCATCTGCCAAAGATGGAAGTGCAAGCGGCGCGATGAGTCTGTTCCGCGGACGAGGGGCTCTGACCCGGATGATCGCGTATACGGAAGGCATAACAGCTGGTGTAGAGAAGTAGCACGAGCGCTAGTAGACCGATGCACTTGCCCAAAAGGGCGGCAGCCATGTCACCGCAGCGTTCGCATGGAAGCACTGGTACAGATCTTTCTGGCCGACTATTCCCCCTTGGTTTAGTCTGCTACCACGATCAGCAGAGTCAGCGGCAACCGCACAGAGGTGAACCGGATTCTCGCGATAATTTTCGACGTGATGTTGAGGAAAAGGACGATACGTTCGAACGTTCGTTGCTACCTTGTTGAACTTCCCTCTCCTCGCCACGAAGAACAGGTAACCCGGAGAGCCTCGGAAGACACTATCGTTATCCGCCTCCAACGACGCGGCAGACGTCCCGGGCTACCACGTCCACCAGCGGCAGTGCTCTTCGTGAAAATTAGAACGCATGGCATCGGCCCAACCAGCTAGGAGTTTTATTTAGCATCAACATTTCGGAGGATCGAGCCTCGAGCACGCACGCGCCACGGTATCGCCGCGCCATGCGGTCCCTCCGCGTTTTCGCTCGCGAGTTGCGCAACCGCCTCCGCCGACTCTGCCCGAAAAACCGTTCAACCCGTCCGTGATCACCAGGCAGCAGCTTTCCTACCGGACAGCTCGAAAATAATGTTCACTCGCCCACGATCACACACTGCACGAAGGTTGCCGCGATTCCTCGCCGAAGCTTCTGGCTACCAATTCGCGCTCAACTTAGGCGGCGCACCACGAGATTTTAAAGCAGAAGTCTGACCGTGAAAAATGTGCGATTTTGATCACTTTTTTTTTTAGTAAATTTTCGGTTTCTTTAAGTTCCTTTCATTGAAATATTATTTACCTAGAAATATTACCCTGTTTTTTTTTTTTTTAAGAGGGTAACATTTGCAGTGAAATTTTTAATCCTTGTCAGGCTTTGAGATTATCGTTTAGCAATTAATCTTTCTTCTTTCTGGAAACGGTGATATTAACGGTGAATTATTTTACGTGGATTTTTTATATTTTAATTTTGCAGTAGGAAGATTAAAGAAATTTGACGACACTAGTAGCCAATTTTTGAATGCACGTATCTTAGTTCTTTTTCGGGTATTGCAATATGGATTGGTACGCATTAGTCCTGTTCAGTTCAGTTTCTTGGATTTTGTAAAAATCAAAGGCTACTTTTTGCTACTTTTCTTATAATTTAATTTTTAAGTTTGTAAACAGTCTGCAAACTATCATTGCTTGTCACTTGACTGTTTCAGATTATTTGCGAATTATCTTTGAATTATATACACAATATCTGCGTACAAAAATTAATAAGACAAATTTGAAAAACAAAGTTTAATAGAAAACTTAGATTTGGTATAATCAATAATGGTAGCTCGCAGATTTTTCCACAATGTTTCACTGGCTTCAAACATTACAGTAGTGAACGCAGAACTCATTAGACATTTCAGTATAATATTGATAAAAATCTTTTCGAAAAATGCTATCTAAATACAACAGAACTGTATGTAAGAGTATATTAATGGTATTATATGCCACAAACGGTACACAAAATTTTAATTGAGTGGAAATGAATAGTTGATGTATATTTAAATCATAATTTAATGTATAATTGAAACGACAATTGTAAATAAAATGTTTACAGTAAAACTTCCGAATCTTTGTATTTTTAAATAATTTAAGTTGAACAACTCAGTTTCAGTGTTAAAAATTCAAGATCTACAAGGGAAAGAATTAAATAATTTACAAAGAAATTTCTTCGATAATTTTACCTGTTCTCGATGATCTATATACTTTTAAGATGAAATATAGTTTTTCGTGGTCAGACGGCTGTTTTAAAGCACTGTGCGACGCTGCGCCGTCTGGTATGCAGCCTTTGGGAGCCATCCAGATGCTCGGAAACCCGTCTGACGGTTCGATTGAAATGTTCGAGCGTCATGATTGAATTATTGGTAAGTTTGACTTAAACGGTTTAACATTGTGAAAAACTGACGAATGGGAAAGTGAATGGTACGGAGAAAGAATTGACGATTGAAAGTGTTCGATGAACCAAGGCTTGGAGTACATTATTCTTCAAACTAATTTTCGATGTTCTTCGTTGCCTTTTTTTAAGGTGCTTGCACATATGAAATTACTGATTTATGGTAAAATTGCACATTGTTGTATATGAGGAGTGCAAATTCATTCGGTGCCGTTTTTCACAAATTTCAATATTTATTTATAAAAGATCAGGCACAATTGTAACATTGGAAATAATCTCCGTTATTTTGGATAACCTTTTCCCATTTATCACGTAAGTGACGAATTCCATCTCTGGAAAAATCTGGCAGCTTCGAGTCGATAAATCTTTTTTCGCTTTTATCAAAAGAGGCAGCGAATTTGTTGGCAATTGATTATACGTTCGAAACGTAAAATGTACAAAAACAAATTTGTTGAATTGAAAGTAAAGTTTAGTTTATTGGTTATAGTAACCTTAGCAAAAAATAGATTAGTGAATGTTTACTATCGTTCTATGACCATGATTACATTATGAAAGTTTATTTGATAACTAACAACAAATTACTATTGGATTTATTATCTAATTCCTTTTCATTTCTTTTTTTTTTTTTTTTTTAGTTCCTTTCAAACAATTTACACAAGATGGAAATCAATCTATAAAAGACGAGATATTTATAAATGAGTAACTATGATAGTCTATATGTTGAGTATGATTCATAATATAACATCTTCAGAATATTTACCTAATATTACCAAATTGCTAAATTTGCAGCTTAATAATAGTCTAGCCAAGAAAATGGTTGGTGCAAACGTTTTAAATGTTTAACGTTTAATTTGTTCAAATTAAATTGGTGAATCTTTGTTATTGTTCTACGACCATGATTACATTGTGAGAGTTTATTTGATAAAAATAAAATCCAGATCCAAAATCGTAATCGTTTGCAACGACGTATACTCCTTGAAATAAGCTGTATATCAAAGAATTTACATTTATTCTACAATGTCTTCGTAATAAACTTGTAATTCTCGCCAACTGTTGCGTATTACATTATATAAGCGACATATGCCAGATAATGCAATGTTGAGTAGGATTTTCCCAATAAAGTTTGAAAATATAATTTAACCCTATTTACGGAAATATTAATTTATAATTAAAATATTTCGTGTGAAATATGTACAATATATACGGCTCGTGTATTGACAAAATTGATTTTAAAATGATTGTTGCAAATATAACGTACTTTAACCATTCTAAATACTCTTCTTTTATAATAAATCCCTATTACGATCAAATGTAACAAAATAATCACAGCAGAATATTCAGTATTTTAGTAAAATTATTATTAGTAAAAAGAATTTAATTTTCAAATTTAAATAAATGTACAAGCGAAAACACGCCATTTTAGGAGATTTACAAGGTTCATATACTAGCTCTATTGACAATGTACTACAGTTTTATTCTTAAATTTAGCTTAATTCATTATTGAAAATTTACAGAAATACAATGTCATATAACGACTGAATAAATCTTGAAAGTGTCAAGAAACAAGGTACACGAGAACAAGAGATACTTTCAAGAAATACAGTATTACGCTATTTCTGAAATAAAGTACCTTGGTCCCGAAACACATAGTAAAATTTTACTAATTTGGAACCATTCAATAACAAATCTTGAGAATTTCAATTCAAATGATTAGCCACATCACGGAGAATAGACGAAATACTGTTAAATTATACATTTTTACCTACATCCGATAGGTTAGTACCCATGTAAACAGATACCATGTGTCGGTTATTTACCGACTGTATGTAACACGCTCTATATATATATATATCCTGTGGTACAGACCAATCGTTTTACGAGACTTTTTGTCACACGATCTGAAATACCAACGTCGTCCAAAAATACTGGTTTTGAAGCACACTCTACGCTTAAGAACGGTCATTTTAAGAACTGCATCGCGCAAAACGATCGATTTGGTAGTGTGCACACTGTTACTGTGTTGTCAATACACTATTGGATCCATTCTGATTCATCCTAAGATTCGAAATTTTGTCTCCATTATTTAAAATAACTAACGCCAGGTGTTCTTAATTTCTATTCCTGCCACTAATAGCGCAGTGATATAATATCAATCTCAATCAATACAGTAGGACGATGCTAACGGGGTTCTAGGACCACAGACGAGGTACAAGATAGACCTTACACCTAATGTATTTTTGTGTCCAACTTTCTGAAATACCGATCGTGTAAAAACCAGAATTTTTATAATGCTCTCTACGATATAAAGTGATGAGTTTAAAAATTACGTACAATTCAACTATTAAAGATGGTAAAATCGGCAAATATAAAAAATCGCATATTGCATATAAAGATACATACATATATTGGATTACGTAGGTAGATTTGTTCACGATCTTCTGACGAATGATGAATCATCTACTAATAAACAATTACGTTACTTTCTTATTTGTAATTTCATAGTTACGTTTAATTCCAACCACTACTATTGTTGCAATCTTATTCTATACTGGATCGGTAACGTTGGTAGCGACAAAAATGGTAAGGGTCTTCTCGGCCCCAAAACCTCGGACAAAAAGTCTCATAAGATGCAAAGTCTATCATGTACGTCGTCTGTTCCTGTACCCCGTCTGTGTCTATATGTCGCCTGTGATTCCAGAGCGTCCGTGACGTTGAATAAAATATTTATGTATATCTCATCTGTTATTATAGCAAAAACACAATCGAGTTACACAAGTATCTATTAAAATTCTACCAAAAATTAAAAACAATAAATTATCGATCAATGTTAGTCGATTACCTATTATTGATAAACGGTTACCATGTAAGAAAGAATATTTAATATTAAAAATTCCAAAAAATAGAAATAAAGAAAGTAAATCAAGACTTGTATTTTATTAAATATTTTATAGCATTGTAAATGAAGTTGTACACAGATACATCTTCAGATATAGATTAAACAAACTTATTATACTTATCTTTAACATGTACTTCATAATTTTTATAGAGTAATCAATCATATAAATTTTTAAAGTGCAGATTTTATCTGCATACGTGGACGATAAGCTTATTCATATTCCACATACCCGACACATGTATCATTATTTAGACGAATTTCTACTTGTGAGTAATGAAACATAAATCACAAGCGATTTTAACTTTTACTTTTTATATTTTGTTTCATCATTAATTCTACTTTATTTATATCTTTAAGAAAATATTACAGTACAAATTATTCAATTTTTAAACGCTAATATACACTCGATTTATTAACACTAGAACAATCAAAGTTGAATACAGTATATTTTTCCTTCCGGTATATTTAGGTATACTATATTACAAAGAATTTCTAAATTAGAATAATTAA